AAGGCTATATAGGTGACACCAAAGCTACGCAAGGTGCTATAAAAGATGGTTGGTTACATACCGGAGATATTGGTTACTATGATGATGATTTTGAGTTCTTTATTGTCGATCGCATAAAGGAATTGATTAAGTACAAAGCTTTTCAAGTACCACCAGCAGAAATTGAAGCAATTCTATTGACACATCCAAAAATAAAGGATGCCGCTGTTATTGGTAAACCTGATGAAGAGGCTGGAGAGTTACCAATGGCTTTTGTGGTGAAACAAGCTAATGTACAACTCACTGAAAAAGAAGTTGCAGATTTTGTAGCAGAAAATACTTCGTCGCCAAAGAGGTTACGGGGTGGTGTGTTATTCGTTGATGATATCCCTAAAAACCCGAGTGGTAAAATTTTGCGACGAATTCTAAGAGATATGATTAAAAATCCCAAATCAAAATTATAAACATTTAATAAAAAAAATTAAATTTGGCTTACATGTTAAATACAGCGGTTATGGAAATTGATTTTATACATATTTAAAAAAATTTATACCAAATATAACAAAAAGTAAACAACTTACCAAGTTCTTATTCCTCAGCTTATAAAGTCCATGAAAACAGAAGTTATAACAATTACACATTCCAAATTTTAAAGGTACTAAATTAAAAAATGAAATATGAAAATGAATTAAAGAAGTTAAACCGAAAATACCCTTCAAACTTTGATTAAATGTAATTGCTAATAGCGAGATATGCACATGAGTAATGGAAAATAGTTGATAAATAAGGCGAGCTGTATAGAAAATATGTTGACAAGTTAGTTCTATTCGAGTACGTACTTGTAGTAGAAAGTACATGTACTTGTAGTACATAAAATATTAAAGATAATTTGTGAGAGCTAACAGGTTTATTCCGTACCAACCGAACTTTATTTACATTTTATTTATAATAAAAAGACGGACATCTGAAAAAAGCAAAAATATGGATTTACACGACGTGTCATTGTAATTTGATTGTCAGATAACAGTTTTGTTTAATTTTGTATGAAAATTTCATTCATTCCCCAAAATTATTCACAATAGTACAAGTTTGTACTGTACAATACTGTACTAAGGTGAAGTGTCCAAGTTAAAATCAACTTGAATTTGAAGAAATTATTTATGTAATTATAATTTTAGCTGTTAAAATTCCTATAGAAAAGAGAGCTAACTTCTAATTTTAAACTTGTTTTGCTTTCGAAATCAGGAATAATTTAAAATGACAGCTAAAATTACAGTCAAAACACTCGTATGAATCCAGTATTAACAGTCATAACAATTGTATCGTATAAGTAACAGTTGATTAATGCTCGCTAAAACGCATCTAATTCAAAAGAAACAAATATCCTTGAAAGTAGTAAGAAATTGTTTGAAGATTCGAATCGAAAAAAATAATTAATAACTAGTTAGTCGCTTTCTGATAAATGTGTTGCTTCCTTATTATTTTATTTTGATAGTAATGTTGCATTTAAATGATAATAATATATTAACAATATAAGCTGATCTGGGATTAGTTATATTTATAAACAGTTAAGATCAACTTCCGTTTTTTAAAAAAATTAATATACATTATTACACAATATTTTTATTAAAAATACCCCCACATGACATGATTGTATTTAAAATGTATTAAACACTTTATACTGCGTACAAAAAAAATTTCTTTGAAGTTCCTATGTAGAAAAGAGGCGATATTTTTTACTGCTACATTGCTACATTGCTCCATACCGATTTGCTATACTTAGCTGCTGTCATTAGCAAGTTATTACATGTAGCGAAAACATGTTAGTTAAGTTAAATTAGAATGTCGTTCTAGTATAATAAAGCCCATTTAAGCTCAAATTATAGCGCGTTGTGATATTACGAAGTTGCGTTGTTCATGCGTACATTAGAAGGGTCCATAAAAGGACCGTAGTGTTCAGCGTACAGAATATGCTGAAAGCCATTACCCCCATTTCAGTAAAAGTGAACCAACCTGACATGTCTATGAACTTGAACTTGCCTAAAAGTTTTTAATATTTTATTTGTCAAAGATGGGCATTGATAAGAACATGAAGTAAGGATTTTATCTCTACTTATATAAGGTCTTCATAGCATTTTTTACTATTAGACATTGACGATCTCTCACCGATACCGTATTGCTGAGCAGATTCCACTTTAATTGAAACAGCTGTTTGGCACATTTCTTGCCTAGCTGGAACCAATTAGATTTCGAGGTCTGACAAATCTGAAATCTGTTCATCTGCCCAGTTTTTTTTAGCTATACTCAGATTTTACTGTTTAATTGGCAGCTTAGTCTTTGCCAATGGCATCCCAATATCCGAAAAATAAATGCCAGAAAGCAGCGTACCTGCTTGACAAGTTCGTCTATCTTGAAATTACTAGAGACGTTCCTGTGTTCAAGTACCCATGTGAGTTGGAGACTGACATGCCAACTTGTGTTAATTTCTCGTTAACCCGCCATTCTCGAACTATTAAGGATGTAGCTGTAATAGGAGATTCTAAAAACCAATTTATAGGAAAAATTGATACTGTCGACCCTTTCGGCACTTTTAAAGCGAAAGTTTTAGCGAAAAAGTTTATAATGTGTTAGCAGAAACTACTCTATCTAGAGTTCAAATATTCATTTTTCTAAATTAATTAACCGCCTTTTACGTTGGCATGTCGCTTTACTCTCTACATTAATCTCTACATCAATTTAACAGACTGACAATAACTATCTGAATGTTTAGTTTGTTTTCTGAGCTATATTCCATATTTGTATTTTAATTATACAATGTACTTAGATGCAGTAAAAAGTTTTAATTGCTCCTTTTTTCTGTTTAATATCGTTATTGAAGCTATATCAATCGCTGCGGTAATGTTATATATTAGTGTTTTCTCGTATCTCGTAACGTTCGGTTCGGTTCTTTCAGGTGTTGTATAAATAAACGAACCTGTGACTTTATTTCTTCAATTTCAATCGGAGTACCTAACGGTAACTAATTTAATTTATTAATTATTATTTTTTTAACTTTTATATAGGAAGAGATATTTCATTCATTAAGTATTAAGAAGTTAACATTTTTTTATATTTTATAGATATAAATAAAAAATAGAATTTATATACAAATTTTAATGTGAATCTTTGGATTCAAAAAAATCTCTTATTATAATATTTTTTTATTGTTATTTATTTATAGTGAAGTTAGATTGGCTGAATTACAATTATTAAGTCTAAGTTCAAGTAAGCATATCAGTGGTGGTAGCGATGAATAAACGAAATATTAATTTATTGTGTTTTAAGTACTTGGTCGTTCATATTCAAGGTATGCATTATTATGTATATAAGTTATGTATATTATATATTTTAGTATTAATTATATATATATATATATATATATATATAATATGGGGCGGTATATATTATATTATATTATATAATATTTTATATTTATTTTCAACCTTATATATCTTATCCTTATATCATTTTATATATATATAATAGTCCTAATAATAGTCCTAACAAAGTAAGTAGTGTTAACTTGTGTTTTCTCTCCACGAATTAGTTAGTTATGACGACTATAGGTTTAGTTTTTACTTAATAATGGTCATTATCTAAAAAAAATATACTTCATAATTGAATTGGCTCATTTATAATTTTATAATATAAACTCCATAAAATTAAGATCAATTAGTTAACTATTGCACATATACAAGCTTCCTTATATGTAAATGAAATACAAAAAAAAAAATTTTAATAAAATAATAATTATAGAGGGGTTTTGAATAACAAAGAAAGAAATAAAGGACAAACACAAAAATTTATTTTAATTTTATTGAAGTTTGACTGACCATACAACGCTGTTTCGAGTATTGCCAAGTACTCTTCATCAGTAGTCTTTCGAAATAATCGAATTTTATTTAATTAGTTTATAGTCCGTATATAATTTGTTTGGACTGCAAGTGCCAGGCTTAGAACTTTGTTATTCAAAACCCCTCTAAATTTTAATAAAGCTTCTTTGTCACTATACAAAGAAAGTCTAGCTTTACAGCAACACGAATACTTTATTCAATAATAATTATAGTAATTATAAAAGAGTAAGTTCAATTAATTAATTGTTGCATATAAATACCAAATGTATGATTTTCAGATACCATCATAAATATGTCAACCTTATTACCAGGCAATATTGTCTATGGAGGCCCAGTCCTTAACACTGAAACTCACAGCTCCAGATCCTTAGGACATTTTGTTTTAGAAAAATACAAGAGTTACGGTGACAAAGTTATGATGGTAAATTAATAGTTTTAATTAATAGAAAATTCTATTATATTTTGTTTTAAAGATCGACGCAGTTACTGGTGTGGAGTACACAGCAAAATTTATATACGATTCGATTGTACGTTTAGCTAATATTTTAACGAGTATGGGCGTTAAAAGCGGTGACGTTGTGTCTATCTCAAGTGAAAATAGTGTTGAGTTCGCCATTGCACTTTTTGCAACTTTTGCATTAAATGCTACTGCGGCGCCCATAAATGTGACTTATTCCGAACGTAAGATTTTCGATCTAGGATCAAAAGACTGTTGACAGATTACTTTGTTTTATTTTAGGAGAAGTCGATCATGCCATTAATTTATCTAAGCCAAAAATTATTTTTGCTTCGAGCCAAACAATCGACTGCATTATTAAAGTAGCAAAGAACAATGCTTTTGTAAAGATTGTGATATCATTCAAATCAGCTCATGAAAGTAAAGAAGCTAATGTATATTCTTATAAGAATTTAATGGAAAGTAAAAACATTACCGTAAATGGAAACTTTGATCCTCCATCTTGCAACAGGAGTGAAGATGTGGCTTTAATAGTATGCTCTTCTGGTACAACTGGCTTACCAAAAGGTGTACAACTAACTCAGAATAACATTTTGACTACGATAGATTCTCAGATGTAAGTATATATGAAATTCAAATTAAGAATTAATTTTTTTACGTTATCATTGTAGAGAATCAACAGCAATACCTTTAGACGACATCAATTTACTGACTGTTATTCCTTGGTTTCATACATTTGGATGCTTAACACTCATTACATGTTCCTGTCTTGGTACATGTTTGGTATATTTACCAAGATTTGAAGAAAGAAAGTTTTTAGGTGCCATAGAGGTTAGTTCACTGTATTTTATATTTCAATACGATGAAATGATGATGATGTACACATATTTGTAGAAATATCGTATTGTAATGGCTTTAATGGTACCACCTTTGATGGTTTTTCTAGCCAAACATCCTTTAGTAGAAAAATACGATTTATCGTCATTATTAGTCTTATTATCTGGAGCTGCTCCTCTAAGCAAAGAAACAGAAGATCAAATCAAGAAAAGGTATAATAAAAGCATTAAAAATTTGAGTTGCTTATTATATTATTTGCTTTTAGAATTGGTGTTCCCATCATACGTCAAGGTTATGGATTAAGTGAATCAACTTTAAGTATATTAGTTCAAAATGATGATGCTTATAAGCCTGGCAGTGTTGGTGCGCTCATAAAAGGAGTTTATGCAAAAGTTATTGATACTGAAACTGGTCGCATATTAGGTGCAAATCAACGTGGTGAACTTTGTTTTAAAGGAGACTGTATTATGAAAGGCTACATAGGTGACACCAAAGCTACGCAAGGTGCTATAAAAGATGGTTGGTTACATACCGGAGATATTGGTTACTATGATGATGATTTTGAGTTCTTTATTGTCGATCGCATAAAGGAATTGATTAAGTACAAAGCTTTTCAAGTACCACCAGCAGAAATTGAAGCAATTCTATTGACACATCCAAAAATAAAGGATGCCGCTGTTATTGGTAAACCTGATGAAGAGGCTGGAGAGTTACCAATGGCTTTTGTGGTGAAACAAGCTAATGTACAACTCACTGAAAAAGAAGTTGCAGATTTTGTAGCAGAAAATACTTCGTCGCCAAAGAGGTTACGGGGTGGTGTGTTATTCGTTGATGATATCCCTAAAAACCCGAGTGGTAAAATTTTGCGACGAATTCTAAGAGATATGATTAAAAATCCCAAATCAAAATTATGAACATTTAATAAAAAAAATTAAATTTGGCTTACATGTTAAATACAGCGGTTATGGAAATTGATTTTATACATATTTAAAAAAATTTATACCAAATATAACAAAAAGTAAACAACTTACCAAGTTCTTATTCCTCAGCTTATAAAGTACATGAAGAAAAAATTATAGCAATTGACACATTCCAAAATTTAAAGGTATTAAATTAAAAAATAAAACATGAAAATGAATAAATTAGTTATGTAGAATCAAAGAAGTTAAACCGAAAATACCCTTCAAACTTTGATTAAATGTAATTGTTGATAGCGAGATATGCACATGAGTAATGGAAAATAGTTGATAAATAAGGCGAGCTGTATAGAAAATATGTTGACAAGTTAGTTCTGTTCGAGTACGTACTTGAAGTGGAGAGTAAAGAGTACCTTGAATTTTATTATTTTGTGTTTGCATACACAAAAATACAAGCTTTATTCATTGAAGAATAAAAACGTCTATAAGTAATTTTAATTCGTAATGAAGATATGTTCAATATCTAATTTAATTACTTTCGTAAATGGTGGAATGGTGCAGAGTTTCACTTTCAACTTTTATGTTAAGGAAAACTAGAAATAATGATATAAATAAATTATTCAGAAATATTACAAATTGTAAGTATCTGGAAGTTTTAGTAAATCGACTAGTTAAATAAGATATAACTTCATTTAAAATAAAACATGTTTATTATTACATATTTTAACTTTCTTTACCAAAATATACATTTTTCAGCTCTTAATCACTAACAGTTCGTTGTGTGGCTATATTATATTGTAGAACAATTATTTTATTATCCATAATAGACTTTTCTTCCTCGAAAAAACATCAGAAATACTGACATATGTATTCAATTTCCACAATGATGAGATGATTTTTCTAAATAGATTTATAGTTAAATTTAATTCTAATGATAAACTCTTCTAGAATTTTGGTAGTTAATGTCATTTCTCGCACGTAGATATTTGTCAGGGCGGTATGCAGGAGGAGTTTTGCAAACCAATTTAAAGGTTATATAAAAACAATAAATTTAAAAGGATCATATATATCTAATGTAAAATGGTCCGAAATATTTTAGATATGTGTCATACCTTGTACATGCACTTGGCCTTTACAATTCCGAAAATATAATTAATATATTAATTTTGGATTATATTAATTTCATTTATGGACATAAGAAATAATATTAAAATCCCAACAAAACAATTAGTAGTTGGTTAAGTATTATTAAACTCACTTCTCATATACAATATTAACGTCACACCATATATGACGTTTGTTACTTGTAGTAATGACTGACCTTAATCTTCTCTTCAAAAACCTCATAGTTGCCGTTTTGTTGCCTGCCTATTGATAAAGGAGACTATGTTTTTAAAATTGGGGCATTTGCAAAGAAAGTATTCAGTTGTTCTATTTTCTCTTTTTCCCAGTTGTTCTTGCACACATATCCTTTAAAGTAATACTCAATTTTTTAGCGTAAATGCTATATGGTCAGCGGTCTCTGCCCAATAGAATTACTGTTTTTCATAAATTGTATCTTGGCCATGTTATTGCGGATCTTTTACAATCCATCGTAGATCTTTTTATGTTCCTGTAGTTTTAAAAAAAGATTACGCGTTGGAACACAGATCAATGGTATTGTGTACTGATTACTCACTGAATTTAGTTGAATTTTATATCGTTTTACTAGCTTTGATTTTGTAGTATAGTTGAACAGTGCGAGAACAGAACTGTACAATTGGAGGAAATTGCAATCTATTGATTTTGTATGTTCCTTTCCAAAATCAGCTCACCTGCCTTAGCGGTAGCAAAAATTTTAACTTGGAAGAGACAGCACACGTCCGTCCTTATATTATTATAACTTTTTGTGCCTAAGTTTTTTTTAATAGTAAAAAATACGTATATGTGTTTGTTACGTATATAAGTTGCACAAAACTTAGTTTACAAAGTAATAGTTATAACTGCGGATATTTTCAAAGAAGTATTGTCAACATAAAGGAAAACAATTTTGAAAAAAAAATTGAAAAATTAATAGTAAAATTAAAAGTAAAAGTAAAGTGAAAGTAAGTAAAATTCTATAAAAAATATAGGCTCCTGAAACCTGTCCTATTAAATCAAATTATGTACTTATCAACTTAGATGTCTGCTTAGCTATCACTTTTTTCAAGGTATAACACTTCGCTTATTATAATATAATATATAACACATTTTATTTTTATTTAAAACCAATAGTTTTTATTTTTAATTATTCATTATTACGGCAGACTTGACTGATTTTTGTTATATGTAATGTATAATGCTATGCTCATGTCATATTTTCTTTTCGTTTTTACATGTAATTATTATACAACTGATATAATCATTTTAAATATATATAAACTATATACTTGTATACATATATTTAATATACTTGTTATTTATTTATTTATTATTATTTTCTTTCTTTCAAATATGTAATAGAACATTTTTTCTAAATTTGATTGATTATATTATTTATTTTATTAATAGGTTCTTAGTTTGACTAATCAAATATTAATATAATTTATTTAAAATACTCTCTATGTCTTTATATCTTTAACATGGTATAAATAACTACAATCGGTAATAACAATATGTTTAAATTTTCATTTATACTTATACTGTTCTATTTGGTTCTAAGTTTGTAAATATAGATCTCTAAAGATTTGCATTCTATATAATAGCTAGTTTAAAATTTAATCTAATTAAAATCTAATTTATTATTGACATTTATTGAAGTAGAGTAGTAGAATCCGAATTTTATTTGAAAATAATATTTAATTTTCATTTAATAAAGTAGTTCTTAAAGGTTTTTATTGTAGTTGAAACCTCATTCCTTTTTTACTTTAATAATAATATATTTAAATGAAAAATAAAAATCATTTTGAATTTATATAAAAAAGTAAAATATTTAATATGTTTGTAATTATTTGTAGGGAATTTTTTTTTATTAATAATAATTAATAAGGCTTATGTGAACGTAAAGAAAATTATATATTAATTTTTATTTTATTTATTTCATATATATTTCTTATAATATATAATATTCTGCCATGAGGAAGAAGTTAAATAAAGTTTAAAACGTTGGCGGATGTTTATATATAAAACAATTAAATAAAATGTTATTGATTAAATAGTTTTTACGTTCATATAAGCTTTATCAACAAATATATCGTTAAATAAAAATTTATATTTATAGCATATTAAGCAATATTATTTTTAAAAAGCAACAAATAGTACCACTCGCACTTCTCGAAATGCTACATCACTCTTATAACTAATAATTAAAAACTAACTTTTAAATGCTTGCGTTTTTAAGAATTATACTTTGGTGTTTAAAAATTAACTTATATTCTGTAATTCGTAAATATAAGTACTTGTTTGAATTGTCGTCTCTTGACAAGAACAAGCTAACACCGCTATAGTGTTTGACAGAATATACACTTAAATAGATGTGTTAAAAGTAAGTCATTGGCTATGCTTAGCACTGGCTTAGCAAAACTGAACTAGCTGATTGTCAGTTCATTTCATTGGAAATAATTATTTCTATAAGAAAAAATATATCGAATCTCATATATACATATACCAGTGCGATATACATATTACAATATAATATTTGTGATTATTATTCGAGCAGTAACGCTACGCTTGAAGCTATATGCTATATGCTATATACTCCAATCCTTTTTAAGAATGTGAGAGTCGAAATGTGAAAACAACCATTGGTATTAACTGATTAGCAATGTTTTTTACAAAATTCAATTTTAGACTGTTCAACTGTTCAAGTGTTCAACTCAGTTATTTAGTTCTTTTAAAAAATCTAAAGATGTCCAACGATAGATATTGGCCGCGGATCATACAACGATTTCCATGCGATTTGCTTTTCTTATAACTTTCGGTTGACTTTGAGACATATCGGACAAGCCACTATACTTGAAAGAAAATATAACAGTTTGCTGTCCAAAATTAGCTTCAAATCTGAAAAGAATAGTTTATAATTTATTTAAATTAAATACAATATAAGGATATTATTATTACTCTGTGCTAATATGTATCTCCGGTGGTTTTCCTGTCGCGTTTTGTATGACTAGAAACATTTTAGTTACAATTTCGATTACATGACCTGTTTGAAAAACGAAATCTCCTTTTTTACGACCAAATTCCGACTACAAATAAAGAAAATATTTATAGTTTGTTTATAGTTTCGTCTTAAAGAATGGAATATATGTATAATATTCTTACCGCTTTTACATGAAAAACTGCTATATCATCTAAATAAGGACTCAGTGACATACGATATATTTCCGAAGCAGGCACTCTATATTTAACTTGTAATGTTCGTTGATCCAACAATAGTAGAGATGAGGTTGATAGAACTAATAAGATTGGCACAAACTATAGTAAATGAAAAATATATTAAAATCATTCATCTAAGTCATGTAATAAAATATATATATATATAAATGTTGTTAAACAAATTTGTTCGTTTTTTTTTATTTCCGAAACGAATATATTTTTTTCCAGTACCGAAAGAATGTCATTAAAATCATGTAAACTAGTAAATTTCTTTATAGTTTATACTCTTGAAGACTATTATTGAACTGCTTTTAATATTGCTTAAGGATGCAGAATTATAAAGTTTTAACAATTTCATCTAAATAAGTAAAATGCGATG